ATTATTTATAGATCTCTTAAGAGTTTCACCTTTAATATTGTTCTCTTCTTCAGAAATTTGATCAGAATAATTCGGTATTGCTTTTCCACTTTTAGATCGACGTTGTTTTTGTTTATGATAATCAGAGTCATTTTCATTATGGCTTTGACTTGGTAGAGTAATTTCATTAGCCGAGACTTCCTCTGCAGGCGATTCACTCACATTCTTAAATACGCATTCATTCGTAGTTACATACAATATTTGCTAATAGAAACAAGACAAATTACACGAGAAAACCATGAGCGTCTTACCTTTTCTACTAATACTGTAGGTTTGGACGCAAGTTCCAAGGTTACAATTGCACTATCACTTAGAGCACCAGCATAACGTATTGCACTATCACTTAGAGCACCAGCATAACGTATTGCACTATCACTTAGAGCACCAGCATAACGTTGAACGTGTTTTACAGCTTGAATAACGCCATTAATCTATATTCATTACAAATATAATTGTAGTAAGTTCGCCCTGTGTCCATTAGGGTGCGGAAAAAAAAGCCCGATCGATTTCGAAATTTTTAAAGGCTGTAAAAATAGTGTTCCACAATTAATACCTAAGCCGAAATTAGCGTATGCAATTAGTATGATAAATACACTTTTAGTAAACGGGCTCCATACTATTTTTACAGCCTTTAAAAATTCCGAAATCGATCGGGCTTTTTTTCCCGCACCCTAGTGTCCATACAACTAATTTTGAAGTATTACCTTTTGAAGCTCCAAATTTTTTTATTCGTTCCTCTTTTTTTTCTTATATTTTTTTTTTTTTGTCTTTTCTTTTTTCGTTTTTTCTTTTGTCTTCCCCTTTTTTTGTATTTTTTTTTTCATCTTCCTCTTCTTTCCTTTTTCCTTCGTTCTTCTCTTTTTGTGTTTTTTCCTTTTCGTTTTTTCTTTTGTCTTCTCTTTTTTTTTTGTATTTTCTTTGTTTTTTCGTCTTCTTCTTCCCTTTTTCCTTTGTTTATATCTTTTTCTTTCGCTCTTTCTTTATTTTTCGTTCTTCTCTTTTTCTTTTATTCTTCCCTTTTTTTTGTTTTTCTCTTTTATTCTGGGGTTTCCTTTTTTTTCCTTTTCTTTTTTTTTCGTTCTTCTTTTTTCTTTTATACTTCCTTTTTTTTTCTTCCAGTTTTCTCTTTTTTTTTTCGTTCTTTATTTGTTCTTACCTTTTTTATTCACTTTTTTTCCCCACTCACATTTTTTTTCTTCTCATTTTTTTTCCCGCTTCATTTCTTTTTTCATTTATCGATTTTTTTTTTATTTTCACTTTTTTTTCTTTTTTTCTTTTTTTATATTCGTTGTTTTTTTTTTCACTAACTTGACTAACCTATTTTTTTTCTATAAGTTTAGCCTTCCTAGTCATTCTTGGAGTCATCATTCTTGAAGCCATTATTCTTGAAGTTGGAGTTATTTTTCTTGGTGTGTTGTCATTTTTGGAGTTGGAGTCATCATTTTTTATGCTGTTGTCATTTTTGGAGTTGGAGTCATTTTTTGTCATCACCGTTCTTAGAGTTGTTGTTAGTGTACTTTCGATGCTTTCATGCAGGTGGGTGGGTAGGTTTTTAATGAAGCTGATAAGGTTAATATGGGTGGATTCAATTTTTGTATTTTTTTTTTTTTTTTTAATTAATAATAAGTAAAAAACTTAAAAAAATTTTTTTTAATAAATAAAATCGCATGATCATATGATCGATTTTGATTGGTCAATCACGAGGTTGTCATAAAATAATATCCTATTTTTATTATAATTTTATATATAAAAAATTATATCTAAAATTTTGTAAAAAATTAGATAACTGTTATTATATAAAAAATTTCATTTTTAATATTTTTAATTAGTATATTAAGATTGATTTAAATTTTAGTTTTGAGTATTTTCACTTTTTTATTTTTCTTCTTTTGTATATATTTGAAATTTATGTTGGGCTAATTAAAATTTAAACTTACTGATTGGCTATTTCCTTTTAAAAGTTTGTATTACTAGACAAATAAGTAAAGCCATCATTGATCTGCTACTTGTTTTCAAGAAAATTTTTATAAAAGTGGGTGTTTTAGCTTATCCTCTTCAAAAAATCAAATTTATTTATTTTTTAAATAGGAGTAAACATAATTAGAATAAACTTACTAGTTATATTTTTTATGAACAATAATAAAATAAAATAGTAGTAACATACATAAAAAAAACTCTTTCCCGTAGATCCTAATTCCATAAGTAAACAATAAAAACAAAACACAGTAAAAGAGTAAAAGACCTC